CATTCACTATTCTTCAGCAGTTGTGGACTTAATGATATTGGACTTATTTCTACAAGTAAAGAAATCCAAAACAGTTTCATCAGGCAATCTATCTGTCTATGTTCTGTTAATTCTATGTCTAATGTAATTATTTGGAAATTGTTCCTTTCAGATTGAACATCAATGCTATAATGACGATATATCTATGATTTGATATTTCCCTAAGTAAAGAAATTGAAAAGGGTTTTGATTTGTCAATCTAGATGGCTACAGTCTGCTAATTCCATATACTATCTACTGATTTGGAAACTTAATTTAGATTATCAGAAACAATTGTAGCATAATGACAAAGATTACTGTTTTTCTTGAAATGTGGCACTGCTAAATAGTGTTACCTTTAATCAACTAACAGCTAAGAAATTGGTTCCGTAACAGAAGTTTCGGTAAAGAAAAAAGGGTTTCTAAATCCTAGATTTTATCAATCACATTGAGACATTAATCGTAGGTGTGTCCCTTTTCTGATGCTGGACAGTCATTTGGATTTTGATTTGCCCTAGCACGACACTTAAACCAATTTACATTCCCACAATCATCATAATGTACAATGTGCTGTGTATGACAGGATGCTATAAATAATTAAGGATTTTAAAATGCTTTTGAATAATTTCAGTTCTGCAAGGATATTGAAGGACATCATGTTGAATCTGACGCTTGATACATTTACAAGCCTTGTCTCTTCAGGATATTGTCAATCAATACATATTACTAATGTTTCATTCTATAATTAATTGTTTTTTAAATAATTTCTTTGTATTTCATTAAAATAAGGACTTTATATATACTTTATTATTATAGTTCCTTGCTATGGGACTTGACCCCAGACGCCTATTTACAGAGACTTGGTTGATTTATAAGTAAATTTCAGATTTCAAACTAAAGTAATTTTTTGTTAGTAATTCTTTTGTTGTAGATGAAACAAATTGAGATATAGTCTATTATACATTTAAGCCATATCTGTGAGCACCTCAACGTGGTGTAATGGTTAGCAAGCTTGTCTCGCTAGAACCATTACAACTGAGTAGTGAGTTCGATTCTCACTGGGTGCTCTATTCTTTCGGCCTTGTGCCACATCTAAGCTACACTTAGAAAATCATTTGGCACCTCGACGTGGTGTAATTGTTAGCAAGCTTGTCTCGTTAGAACAATTACAACTGAGTAGTGGGTTCAATCCTCACTGGGTGCCCCATACTTTCGGCCTTGTGCCACATCTAAGCTACACTTGGAAAATCACTATAAGCCATATCTGAAAATTTTCAGTTTTCCTATTTGAATTTTCTGCTGAATCATAATTATTAAGTTAATGATTGAAAAAGCTTCTTGCAAATTCCATGAGAAGTTTTTCCATTTCACTGAAGCAGATGTTAAATACATGATTGTTATCTTTCTTTCCTTCTCTCCTCTTCTCTTTCCTTCTCTCCTCTTCTTTTTCCTTCTCTCCTCTTCTTTTTCCTTCTCTCCTCTTCTTTCCTTCTCTCCTCTTCTTTTTCCTTCTCTCCTCTTCTTTTTCCTTCTCTCCTGTTCTTTCCTTCTCTCCTGTTCTTTTTCCTTCTCTCCTCTTCTCTCCTCTTCCTAGTCCTTTTCCTCTTCTCTTTCCTTTTCTCCTCTTCTTTTTCCTTTTCTCCTCTTCTTTTTCCTTCTCTCCTGTTCTCTTTTCTTTCTTTCTTATATAAGCTTTCTTTTTCTCAGTAAAACCAAACATTATTTATACTTTTTACACACAGACTTGTCTTCATCTTTGTTGTTGTCATCATAACATTTCAGCCATTGTACCCATCAGCCTTCATCAGATGTATGTCAATCTGGATAACCTGCACTAGATGAATGCTGGCAGGCATGATGGCCAAAACATGGTAACAACAGCATAAATGCACTCAGTAGTCAACACATAAATATTGTGAATAATGATAATTCCTAATCTCAGGAATTCAGACAGAAAATACAACCAAACAGTATGTCTGATATATCTTTTTCTATCTCTCCTTGCAATCAAAATGGAATGGTTCATTATTTATCTGAAGTAATGGCAAGTTGTAATGCATATGCTAACTTACCAACAAGATGATTGGAAATAAGGTATAAGCACGTAACCAACCATCATTGTCTTGTAAACTTTGCAGTACCTGAGGAAAACGTCATTTAAAAGGATTTTATAAACAAACTAAAAATGCTTGACTTTTACTGTTATTCTCATATTTAAAAAAAAAATTGTATCTGGAGATTCATTTTAAGAATTTTATATGTCAAATTTCATCAAACTTTTCTTGAGTTATCACACACACATGCCTTCTATCTTTTATTAATCGACTTTTTTTGTTTGTTTGGTTAGTTCCACTAATTTAGCCATAAATCGTTTGTGGCTATGTTATTTGCTAAAGTGACTGTTAAATCTCTAAATGATGAGTCAGGTACAAAACTTGTCATCTTAACTCATTTTATATGGTGTGGGTTCAAATGTTATTTATGTCAATTTATAACTTCTTTTTTTCTTCATTATTTGGCTTCCAACTAATTTATATTGGATTTTTCAAATCCTTATAATTAAATTGGTATACACTCTGATGTCTTTAGAGAATTCCTTGTGTAGAGCAGTAATTTTTTCTTTGGAAAGAAAAATGAAATATGTACACTTTAAACATTATTTTTAGTGAATATTCATATTTGAGTAGGTGCTCCGTTTATTTACTGAACAATATATTTACTTATCGGCCTGAATATTTGAGAAATTTTATTAAAGAAAAATGTGAGGCCTTTGGCAGGAATTGAACCTGCATGGCCATTGGCGAAGCCAGTTTCATAGATTTCTTGAATATTCATGTAGGTGAAAATAAATGTAGTGTTTAATAAATAAACGGAACACCTACTCAAATACGAGTAACCACTAAAAATAAGGCTTAAAGTGATAAAAATCTGTTGATTAATAAAATATATATATATATATATATATATATATATATATATATATATATATAAAGGAAGAGGTTATAGTTGTTCCAACAAGAGAAAAGTGTATATTTTAAAAGAAGAGAAATTGTTTTTAGTTATAATGTGGATTTTTAAAATATATATTATAAAAAGTTTTCATATTTTTGTTACATGGGCTTAGTCTCGTATTATTTCATTATAGAGTTTATTTCCATATATTAAAAATTAATTTTCTATATTTTTCGATGTTTATATCATTGTTTTTGTTTTTGTAGTAATAACTCCAAAAGTTTTTCTTAGGCTGGTGGCGAAAGAAAAACATTTAATGTTACTACAAAAAAAAAACAATGGTTAAACATCGAAAACATAAGGAAAATTAATTCCTTTTAATAATATGTGGAAATAACCACTCTTTGTCTGATGAATGTCGCGAGATCGGAAACGCGTGTAGCAAAAATATGGAAAATAAAGTATAATATATATTTAAAAAAAAATCCACATTATAACCAAAAAGGTTTGCGGTTTTTCTCTTCTTTTTAATATATATATATATATATATATATATGAAAAAGGAGGTGATGATGAAAAAATACATAGAGAGGATTATAATAATTGCCAAAAAATTGTTTCGAACCCCCACAAAAAAAGCCAGAAATAGTAATGTTTTTCTCTCCTAAATAAAAAGAAAAAAAAATTCATCCTGTATATAATATGTTGTTACTCATTGTGAAATTCAAGCCTCCGAAATGAAATAATTTGTTTTGTGATTCTTACATTTGTTCGAATGAGTGTGTGATTCTTTTATTTTTTTTTTACTTTTCTTTTTATTATTCATCCATCTCATCTATGTACCAATTAAACGGGGTGGGGGGGGGGTGTGTCTGCCAGTTAAATTTTTCCGAAAGGAGTTTTTCTCATAAATTTTGAACTCTTTTCTAAATATAAAAGAAATCCCAATTATTTTATGTAACATGGACAACACTCGAATTTGGAAAAGCCACAAGAACAGTAGACATAAACATAAACCAGAGGTACCAAAATTTTTTAAAATCCCTGACCCTTTTGTGGAATCCTTGAGCCTTCATCAACCTCCACGCACGTACGTATGTACACGCACACACACACACACACACACACACATATAGTAAATTTGTAACTCTGACGTCTTTTTTCATCAGCATGAAGTTGTGATCACATTGTTTTGAGGGCTACCTCTGGTAATATTTTTGTAGCTGTAATAATTATTTTTCTTTAAAAGTAGAAATTCCTTTGCTCTTTTGTTTCTTCATAAGATTCATTTTAACTTTTCGGTTTCTCTTTCTCTTCCTATACGAGACGCATGTTTGATCGAATGATAAGCTATGGGATAAAAGAACGAGTTGATTCTCTGTCCATCATATACTGTCTGTATGTCACTTTGCATGCACATATGTAATGCATGTGTTTGTGTTGCATGTCACAACTTACATGTGCTTGCACCATTTTAATGTGCACACAAGCAAACTCATTCATATACGTGGAATTCAACTGCGTTAAATTGTGTATACGACATCACAATAATAAATATCTCTTCCATGCAGTCTGGACAACCTCTACCCTGGGTTAAAATTACAACGTTGAAGACAACAACAACAAAATTTAAACACTAAAAATGTCAGATAAAAGATTTTATTGAGGTTTTTGGAAATTATTTAATACTAAAACAAAATTATTTAAAATTCCTTTTTTTTTTTTTTTTAAATTTTTTAGAAATAAGTTTAGACCTGTCATTAATTTAAAATACACACACACACACACACACACACACACACACGCGGGCACAATTTAAATGAAATTGAAATTGACATCCGAAGATTCATTTCTTTCTTTGTCTGGCAACAACGTCTGGGTAATAGGAAAAGAATATAAACCTAAATGTGTGGCCTTTTGAAATCATTTTTATGACTCCTGTATTAAAAATGGAGAAACAATTTTAATTTGATATTTGATCCTCTTGTCAGCAAAACAATGGATACTGTAAAGATAATAATTAGGAAAACTTACGATCATATCACGTTGAAACGCCGGTTCTCGTACGATCACCGAAGTTAAGCAACGTCGATCCTGGTCAGTACCTAGATGAATGACCGCTCAGGAATATCTGGTGCTGTAAGCTTAAATGTGCAGGTTGCGTAATGGATAACAGCTCAATTGAAAAATGGAGAGCCGAGTTGGAATTCTAGCTGACTTCGTTATAGTCAATTACGCGCAAATACCATTAGGAAAGGTATGAGTCCACCTCTTCCTCAGCTATGGATTAATTAGTAGGACTTTTTAGTAAATCTTTATCATCATCAAAAAAAATTCTTACAATCTAAAAATAGTTTTTGGTCTTAACCTGTAAAAGGTTGATAAACCGGAAACTGCAAATCAGGAACATCTTTATAAATAATATAGGTAATGTATGCCACTCGTATTCGAGGATACCCGTCGACTAGGACGGCTAGCCAATCCCTGTTGCAGACGCTTGCTCAGGTATATTTGTGTTTATTCAACACCCACAGAGCCCACCTGTGGTTTATACTGCAACTATGCTGAGCAGACCTTAGTTACGTTTTCTGGGAAAGAGCGTGTTATCTAGAATGATCAACAATTTGAACAAGGCCAGCACGCTCAATCCCTCGGCCACGATGACTTATGACTTCGTACCTTTCAGCTATCAACGGACCCAAGGGTTCCGTCTACCCAATTTCACTCACAAGGCTTGGGTCAACCTGTGGTATGGTTTTCAGGCACTTTCCAAAGGTGCTGCAGACTGGGATCGACACCTCCAGTCCGATGTTTTCCTGACAAATCGACCATGGTGAGATTCGAACCGGGTCTCATGGTCAGAATGCGGACGTTCTAACCCCTCGGCCATAATATAGGTAATAATAAGCATTAAAATAAATTAATATAACTTTTTATTGAATTGGAAGGTTGTGTTTGATGAGCATTAGGAAGGGCATAGGTATTTGGTTAGAAATTTCTATAATATTGACCATTTTGGGGGGCCCTCGTGTGGCTGGACTGTAGCGTTGAACAGCAGTTTCTCGCCAAACACTTCTCTGTGGAACCGACTCCCACGGGGATGTTTCCCCGATCACTACAATCTTAATCTGTTCATGTCTACGGTTAACCGTTATCTTCTCCTATCCGTACAAACTGCGTCTTAACGTAACCCTCTAACTCGAGTATACAAGGTGAACCTTACTGTAAAACAAAAAAAAAAAAAAAAAACAAAAAACTTCTTGTAAAGGCCGGCTGTAGGCGCACGAGACATAGCGAGGCGAGATCTAACTCTCGTGTCTTCATTTTTTGTGTCGCGGGCAAACGGTCTTCTCATGGCTGGGGTCTTCGCGTCGTTGATTAACGTTGGTCATGACATCAATGATACAGCCCTTAGCGTTGCGGCTCAGCTCAGACCAGACACCAGTTAGTTTGAACCACCGACAGAGAATACAGCAGAAGTTCGTGGCCAGTCTGCGGAGAAGGACAACGGCAGTAGAGTCAAGACTTTGCCAACAAAAGACTTCAAGACTGCTGCAAATGTCTCTTTAAAAGGTTACCAACGCTACACTGGATAGAAAATAGCATTGAGCAGATAATTAACAAGAAACAGTTGGCGGATTACAGAGGCCGAAAGAAAAAGACAAGCAGACAATTTTTGTTGTCTTAAAAATAAAGTTTCATTATTTATTTAATAAAGATTAAGAAAGATTGCATGTGTTTGAAAGTAGAGCCAAGTTGAAATTCCAGCCAACTCTGAGGTATTCATTTTGTAGGGATACTCTTGGGAAACGGTGTGAAACCATTTGTTGTCTCTGCAATTGTGGGTTAAACAATAGGGTAGGCAAAGCTGTCTAACCTTGCTAGGGCTAAAATCAACAACTTTGAATTCTAACTAGTTGGTTGTAGGAATTGCAACCCCACCTAATAAAACGTACGTGTTAGCAAAAATTCAGTTGCACTGACTTGCATGTTATTGCAGCGCCCCCTACCCTAAGGAGAGTTTATAGGAGAATGTGGTTGTCATTTATGCCTGTGGTGTAAAATCATTGTTCCTGGAGTCGATAAATTCTCAAAAAAAAAAAAAAAAAAAAAAAAGCTTTGTGTGTCATTATCACATATTTGCTTCTTTTCTGGATATTTCTAATGTCTTTAGAACTTTTAGAAAAAAGATTGTCACTAAAAGTTCTTGAGCCAAATTCGGAGTTGATGTTTAGCATAGCTTCTGTCAATATTTTGCCTAATTTCAAACTTATAAGGAAAAAACCGTTCCACTTTGTTTATGAGTTAATAAACTCGGTCCTGACATTAGCGCGTCACCGTATTTCCTTGCGTGTAATACGAGAAATTTTGAACAAAAATTAAAGAGTTGGGGGAGGGTGTCTTATTATACACAGGTACACGTTTTCAGAAAGTTTTATTCAGCTTAAAAATCCTCTTATTTGAAACCGTAAGATTTCAAATACATTCAAAAACAAAGTATACAGCTGTTGGTAACAATTGTTTCGAAAAATTATTTGATATATCAGTAATATTTGTTTCTCTCTTAATTCCTGATAAAAGGCAATATTTTTTGTTTTCATGCTTTATTAGTACAAAGAAATATAATAAAGTCATATGAAACAGAAACATATGATAAATTAATTAATACCCTAAAATATATTACCGGGTATAACTAGTTATCACCTTTCACCGAAAATTTTAAAATAAGTTTTGAAAGGGAAATTAGGAGAAGAAACACACAAGAGCGAAATATCCGGTTCATTTTTATTCTTTAATATCGTGAAAAATTAAATATTTTAGTGAAATATTTATGGCACTGGGATTTTAATGAAATATATGATACAAGTTTTCCTAAAAAATGACATATCGATGACTGTACTACGGGTTTTTGTTATACTCAAGGATGCAATTTATTTCCTGCTTTTGCCTACAGAAACCCGACGGCGTATTAGACACAAGGATGTAATTTATTTCCTGATTTTGGCTAGAGAAACCCGGGAGCGTATTATACACAAGGATCTAATTTATTTCCTGCTTTTGTGTACAGGAACCCGACGGCGTTTTAGACACAAGGATGTAATTTATTTCCTGATTTTGGCTACAGAAACCCGGGAGCGTATTATACACAAGGATGTAATTTATTTCCTGTTTTTAGCTGCAGAAACACGAAGGCGTATTATACATAAGGATGTAATTTATTTCCTGCTTTTGGCTACAGAAACCCGAGGGCGTATTATACTCAAGTATTTAAGTTATTCTTTGTTGTTAGCTTCAGAAACAGGTGGTCGTATTATACTCAGGGATATAATTTATTTCTTGTTTTTGGCTTCAGGCACACTGGGTACCCAAGTGACAGAGCTTATAAGACAGGTAAATATTTAACTTCTATGAACATGATAAATCCAGAAAAATGTGATTTAAATGATGCTATCTAGTTATTTGAATGGATTTAACAGCCTCGATATAACAATGGATAATAAAAGATTTAGCGCCCCTCCGACTACATGTAAACTTTTGACATTACCAGATTGTAGGATACTGATCACACCAGATAACTTCAAAGTTCTCGAAAATGAAGGTTTCGTATCATTTTGTGACGTTGCCTTCCGTACGTCCGTCACTGCACAAGCTGTGATGACGTCTAAAGTCGGTTGGACGCGTATATACACCCGGTTAGCTATGTTCACAAGGTTTATCTCCTAGGCCGTGATCAAATTTAACAAAGAATAACGACAAATGTTTTTCAAGACACTGATTGGGAAATAGCAAACAATACGATTTCTCACGTAACCGGCAAATCTCCCTTTGGCTTCGTCGAGGTCAACTACTATCTTACTAATTTCCGGCCACCGAAAAAGGACCCTTACATTTACTGAAAGAATTCGGCGACTGCTGATTTCTCGCTGCTCGTTGATCTCTTCCTCAGTGACTGCCTTTCACTAACTGCTCATTATATGGACAACGGATGGTGTCCCACCACCCCTATCCGTCCACTTGTGTTCCGGAAAAGGAAGCCACCAAACGGTTGGATGGGTGGTGAATTTTTCAAAAGACTACTTTTATGATTATCTAAAATCACTAACAAAATGTTATGTTTGCCAATTCAAAGGCGGGCTGGAGACAGGAATCCTGAAAACTCTGGTCATTAAATTAACTTAAAAGATGGACTGGAAACGAGATTCCCAAGAAACTCTGGTAATTAAATTAACATAAAAGGAAAAAACAATATATCTCTTTATTTCCTAAGGATATGTGAAAAATCGTATTGTTACAATTTGCTACGTTTCCTAATTAGGTTATTTCAGCATTGTGTAAAAAAAGTCACAACTCCTCAAGGACATAGCCTATTGGATATTATTGTATTAGTTGAAGTAATAATTCCTATTGTATTAGTTGAATTAATCCAAAAAGTGAATTGGCCCAAAGAGTTGTGAGTTCAATATCTGGCCATAGCAGAAAGAACAAAAATTTGAAGAATTAAGTTACGAAAGGGAATTAACTGAAACTGAGATATCCAAAAAAAGCATGGCACGTGGAATTAAAACAATCTACGAATTAGGACAATCTAACATTGTGAACTAAATAAAGGGTTCAGTTCGAAATTCCGACGTATCTTACTTGAAGAAGGCCAGAGTGTACAACGGCTGAAACGTCGTGAATAAAGATGAGGACAATAAAGATGGGGACACTAGTCCGAATGATGTAAATATATCTAATCATTTCACCTTAAACAAAGGGATAATGCCACTAAGACGCAAGAGATTACTAGGGATGAAAGAAAATGAGAAGACTTCAGGAGAAGGAAGCGGAAACTCAATCCTAAACAAGAAACAAGGGATAAACCTTCACTCCTGTTCAAAAGACGGGGAAGAAGTGAGAAGCGGACGACAGGCGAACCTATATACTCCGATGTATATTTTCTTTATTAAGAGTTTCGATGATTTAGGCCGGTAAATGTTAATTTTATTATTTGCAAATAAACAGGGATGCCAACTCAAACATGTAAAATAATATTTATAGCAATAAAAAAAAATCCCATATCTATTAGATTGAGTCACAAATAATTTCTGTCTCTGAGAACTAATTCCAAAGCATCATCCTAACCATTCGTTCATAACAAGCG